CGACATGAAAGGGGGGAAACCGGGTGAACTTTGACAGTTTGGCCTTAGCTGGGGGTTCCCATGGGGCCACGAAACGTGCGAAGGGTGCACCGACATGAAAAACGGGAACTCGTGTGAGATTCAACATTGAAGCCTTAACTGGAGTTCCCTAGGGGCCCACGAAACATGTGAGGGGTGCGTCGACATGAGAGGCGGGAGCCCGACATGAGAGGGGCCACGAAACGAGCGAGGGGTGTGCCGACATGAGAGGAGCGCGTTTCATGGGCGCTTGCCTTGGGAACGTTCGGCGGCACGCTTGAACCGGGGGGGGGCCTCTACCAACAGTCGGCGCCGTCGAACAGAACCAGCGGGACTCCCTTACCCCCATTCCCCCCCACTCCCCGAACCTCCCCCCTCTGGAGCTGGCCAACGCCCACGCCCGCGCCCACGCCCACGCCTACGCCAACGCTCACACGAACGCCCACGCCCACTCCCACGCCCGCGCCCACGCCCACGCCCAGGCCCACGCCCACGCCCGCGCCCACGCCAACGCCCACGCCCACGCCCACACGCACTTCCACGCCCACGCCCACGCCCACGCCCACGCCCCGCCCACGCCCACACCCGCGCCAACGCCCAGGCTCACACCCACACCCACGCCAACGCCCACGCCCACGCCCACGACCACGCCCACGCCCACGCCCACGCCCACACGAACGCCCACGCCCACGCCCATACGCACGCCCACGCCCGCGACGTCCACGCCCACGCCCACGCCCACGCTGGCGCTGGCGCGGGCTGGAGGCGGGGTTCGAACCCCCATCCCCCCGAACTAAGGGGGGGGGGGGGAAGCCTGGTTCCAGACCCCCCCCTCCAACAGCCCACAAAACGCGCTCTTTCCGACATGAAAAACGGGAATTCGCATAGTTGTTTGAATTTGGGCTTTAATAGGAGCTCCCTATGGGGCCACAAGACGTGCGACAGGTGTGCCGACATGAAATACGGGGAGGGAGAGGAGCAGGAGGAGGAGGAGGAGGAGGAGGAAGAGGAGGAGGAGGAGGAGGAGGAGGAGGAGGAGGAGGAGGGGGAGGAGGAGGAGGAGGAGGAGGAGGAGGAGGTGGAGGAGGAGAATGAGGAGGAGGAGGAGGTAGAGGAGGAGGAAGGCGAGGAGGAGGAGGAGGAGGAGGAGGAGGAGGTGGAGGAGGAGGAGGAAGAAGAGGAAGAAGAAGAGGAGAGGAGGAGAATGGCGGGAACGCGGGGCGGTGCTGGTTCAAAACAACGAGGGCCCAACACCACAAAATAGTTGAGGAAACATCCGCACAAGCACAAATGTTCAGCGGTTCGCGGGGAGTCATTGGAGCTGCACTGGACACCCTTCCCTGGCGCGAGGAGCGCGCCAGGGGTGGCGCCAGAGGCAACCAAATCCCAGATCCAAGAAAATCCCGAGGGACAGGTGGAACTTTCTGTCAACGCCGTGGACCACCAGCATGTTGACTCTCACGATCTGTCGCACTCGTAGTCCTAGCTAGCATCAAGAATAGTATAAGTACTACTCCGCCACAGTGCCGCTGGGCACGGAGCGGGCGTGTCCTCAAGTCCTTCTGTCACTACCTCTCTGAGCCTTAGCCGTCACTCCTGAGGAGTTCTCTGCTCCTGCTCTGCTCTGTTGTACCGTAGTAACGACAGTCCCAGTAAGAGAGGACATGCCATCTTAAGCAATAGGAAGACCCTTCTGGTCTCAGTAGCGACTGTGTGCCTCGCAGTGAGGCACAGTCATATTTGGGCGGCCGGCCGCTTGAGCCGACGCGGCCGCGGGCGCACGCTCGCTTCCACTCCTTACGTCCCTCAGCTCGCTTTAGAGTGAGGAGTTCTCAAGAGGCTCGGAGCCTCTCGGGCCAAATCGTCCGGGGCGGCCCGCTGCTCCCCGGCGCCTTGTCGCATTCCTGTCTCGGACCCGAGAGGGCCCCAAAACGGGCCAGCAGGGCCCAAGAGGCCCCAAGACGGTCCACGAAGGCCCCGAGTCGCCGAACGATCGCTCCAAGACGCTCAAGATGGACCCCAGACGGCCCAAGAGACCTCCAAGACGCCCAAAGAAGCCTCCAAGAGGCCCCCAAGAGGGCCTCAAGAGGCCAAAATCATAGATTTGCCTTGCCTTTTCGGCTTCCCGACGCTCCCAGGCAGCCCTACAGACCCCAAAACCGCCCCAAGACGGCCCAAGAGACCTCCAAGAGGGCCCCAAAACGGCACAAGAGTGGGGCCCAAAAGAAGGAGCACGAACCGAAAATCTGAACCTTCCGCCCGCAGAAGGCCCCAAAAGGCGACCAGAAGGCCCCAAGAGGCCCCCAAGAAGCCCCCAAGAGGCCCCAAGAGGCCCCCAAGAGGCCCAGACGAGGCCCCAAGAGGCTCCCAAACGGCCTGCACGAGGCGCCCAAGCTGCCCCCAAGAGGCCCCCGAAAAGCTTCCCAGGAGATCCCAACGAACATTCAACAAGCTTCACACCCGCAACCCAGGCACAGTGGCG